GCTAAATTAAAAAAAGCAAACCCTTCCCATATTCTTCCTCTAATCTAAGCCCAAATCAATGAGATGAAAACATTCACGAACAATAAAAACTGAAAAAAATGTCTTATATTTCCCCCCATAGATGTCTGGGATCTACTCGCGCATGGTGACTAGTTTTGCTTCCGCCGGGAGACCCGACGTTGGCCTGAAGTTGACCTGGCCGGTGTACTCCAAGAGTACCGGTGGTCAGTACGTGATGCTGTCTAGCACCCCGCAAGTCCTCAGCAACCTGCTACCCAAGCGGACACAACTCTGGCTTGACACTCTAGACAGAATGATGGAAGATGACGGCCCTTTGACGCAGACGCCCGTTGTAGGATAGACCTCGTCATGAATCACTACTATTGTATCAGCATGGTTGCTGCGTCGATGGTAGTTGAACAGATATCTTAGCTTGCTTAAACTAGAACACGTGACTGTGTTTTTATAAATGTTTGAAGTTTGTTTTGCCTGTTGTTATTCTCTGTGCGTGCTCGGTTGTTGAATTTTGTTTATTTTTTAGTTGTTATTGGGGGAGGGGAATGATGGATGCGGGGGGAGGGGGGTGATGGATGCGGGTGGAGCCTTAGCACTGTTGGCCCCACTTATAACAGTCTCGGTTATGACAGGATTACGGCTATAGTAGGCTTATAATAAATCCCCAAGCCCGATCTCTTTGAATAATGTACAGTTTTAAAAAGTTCGCTTTTTTGCAGGCATTCAGAATAGGCATGTTTGGTACATCATGTATAACAATGGTCCAATCAGAGACAAAGTGTTTACCGAAGAGAGCAAAAAACAGCAGACAAAGGCAATTGAAGCAAAAACGCACACATACCGAATCGTATCTCCATGAACCGCTAGAGGCCAAACTTGATTACGTAGGTTTTACATAGTGTGTCATCATATAATGCATGCCATGAAGGGGATGAAGGGGAAAAGCTGGATGCAAAAATGTTGAAATGACAGTGGTTAAAGCCCCTATCAACACTTTATTTTAGGTTATTTAAGAGGCGCGATCTCCGAGTTCAACATCCATCTCCGAAAGGACCGAGCCAAATGAGACATTCGAGTTAAGTTTCTTTCTCAAGGACACAACGTCGGACCGAGCTAATGCTCGAACTGCCGAACCCGCAATCTCACGATTACGGGCCCGGTAGCCTAACCGCTAGGCCACGGATGCCTCGAAGCTGGATGCAGTTTGGTGTTAATAACATCTTTGGTGTTGATACAGATTTTCCAGTCAGTGACCCGAGTGTCTTAGCGTCTGTTACTGGCACCGCATCGTCACATCGTCTCCCTGTGGGGTGGTGAGACACTTGCAACGGTAACATGACTGAATGAAAAGTATTCGCTGAGCGCTCGATCTACTGCAGATCTAAGGGAGTTCCTTTTCATAACTAGTAATATTTGATTATGAACAGTGGCAGCTGTAAAGCACACTGATCCTGCATCGAGGGACTCTTGGTGTCTAGATATGCGGTGTTCGCCTCTCATTCAATAAGTTTTGGGTTCGAAATCCGACGAAGACGAAACATTGTCTTCTCTAAAATGAAAATGTTCTCCTCTTTCATCTCCACTTTCTGCCCCCCCCCCCTTTCCCTTTTTCGGCTCCTCATTCTTTCTACTGCAATTCCTGGTTCCTTCTTACTACTCCTGCCTTTCAGCTACTAACCTGATCTTACTCATTTTTAGGATAGGTAAGATGGAGCACATAGCCTTCTCGGTCAAGGGTGAAAAAATCTCGGAGGTCCCGTGTGCAAATTGCGCACATTAAAGATGCCTTGGTGGTCCTATAATCGATACTATAATTTACTATAAGAATAGGCTTCGTCCACCACTCGGGCAATATTCAATATTAATTCCAACCAAAGCTGAAATAGCTTAATCATAATTTAATGCGTAGACAACTAACTGGTGTCCTGCGAGCTCTTGTTATAACCTTAAGCAGTTTTTGCGAGCACCGTAAAGCTCTTACCAAAACAGCGTTTGCTGTGGAGCATGGTATGTGCTAAATAAATGCAAGTATTATCTTTAATTAAGTTACATCCTGTGCATCTCACATGATGTCTAGTCAACCTCCATGAGACTAAGATATCAGAAAAAGAAAGATAAATAAGGATGAGGACCTAGTCCGAGTTAGAGTTTGAGTAAAGAGAAGCACATCGACATACACTTAGCGTCAATAAAAACCAGACACATTTTAATTGCGTGTTTCATGAAAGGTTGAAAACCCATTGAGCTGAAATTTTCCACACGTGATTGTGAACACTTGACACTCCTGATCAGCCTGCATTTATGATCGGGTGCCCAGTTAATAAAGGTCAGATCTTGTTTTGTTAAAAACCGTGTTTTGTCATTTTTCTCGAACGTTTTTTGTTTTTTTTATTTTATTTTATGGGTTTAACACATCTTTTTATCTGTAGCCAACAATAAAACGTTAAAAGTTTCATTTCAAAACATCTAAATCTAAAGATACAGCATGCCGCGTTTAACGAACGAAGAGCGCAATCGAGCAGTTGGTATGCTGAGGGCCAATACGCCAGTAGCGAATGTTGCAAGGACCTTCAATGTGACAAGAGACATGATATATCGACTAATGAATCGTTTGCAGACGTCTGGATCCGTGCAGGTTGGTCCCCGGACGGGTCGTCCTAGAGTTACAACACCAGCCCATGACCGGTACATTCGGGTCTTGCACCTTCGAGATCGCTTCCGGCCTGCTACCAAGACAGCCAGGGAGTGAAAGGGACGGAGAACCATGAGTGCCCCGACTGTGCGCCGACGCCTTAGACCTCAGCCGGTCACCTTGGATCAGCTACGTACAGCACTTAAAAACACATGGAACACCATTCCACAGCATCCCATACAAAGACTTGTGCGAAGCATGCGGCAGAGGTGCACAGAAGTCGCCAATGCCCACGGCGGCTATACGCGGTATTAACTGTGACTTTTCATTTTAGTTTTAGGGCCTACAATTAAAAGATCAAATATCAGGAAATAAAGTTCATTTAAAAAAAATGTTTTTTGTGTAATTGAGTTGTAAAATGTTCAAACTTTCCTATAGAGAGATTGTTTCTGGTTAAAATCAGTCTTTCAATACAAAAAACACTTTTAAAAAGGGGTGTCTGGTTGTTTTTTTACGCCAAGTATACTAACGGTCATATAGTTCATATATAAGTGGGTAATATTTGTACGGTAACAAAAACGACCCCGTTTGGTAATCATTACTTACAGTGTATGTAGACTTGATCCCCAGCTATAGGTATAGGATTTGGTTATATCAGGAACATTTAGTCGGTCGTGGCGGTCCTGTTACTTTTGCAGGGAACCACTCTAGAGCTACACTGCATGGGCCGGCGTTTTCAAAACTGAGTAAAATTCTTAGCAGTTTTGGGGTTTTGCTTGTGTTATACAAATGAAATTTGAAGAAAAAGGCTGACTATGGTTAAGACAGCATCAGTTTTTCCCATGTAGTCTTCAATTACGTTTTAGTACGAGTTTTACGGCACTTCCAACTCTAAATCATATAAATGCCAAAGATTAGAGGTATTACTAGAGAGTAACATACAAACAAAAAAGGGGGCTCTCGTGGCCTAGAGGTTAAGGTGTTGGCCTCTAATTCAAAGGTCCCGGGTTCGAATCCGGGTAGTGACCGACAAATTTTCTTCTTTAAAATTGTCTCGTTTCACCTCCTTTCCTGCTCTCTATCAATGTTCTGTTGTCTGCTTTCGTCTCCACTTTCTTCCTCCACCCCATCACCTTCTTTGTCCCCTCCTCTGGCCTCCTGACTCTTTCTGCAGCCTTTCTACTGTTACTCCTTGGCTCCTTCTTTCTACTGTCTTTCAGTCACACCCTTGATCTCCTGGTAGGAAAGATCTACACATAGCCTTCTCGGACAAGGGCGAAAAATCTCGGAGGTCCCGTGTGCAAGTTGCGCATGTTAAAGATCCCTTGGTGGTCCAAAACCGATAAGAGTAGGCTTTAGCCGCCACCCGGGCAAAATTCAAAATTTCCTACCAATTGAAAATGTTTGGAGTGTCCCGCGCGCTCATATGACCTTATGCAGTTGCGGGCCCCGTAAAAAACTTACCAAAAGAAAGGGGGGGGGGATATAACAGTCTCGCTATAGTTGAATGTGCGTGCAACCTGTACCCTTCATGCACTTTATTTGGTTCCAAACAGAGTCAAATAGTAGGCTCTATGTTGAATCATAATTATGTCTGAGTGCACAGTCTTGGATGCTGTAGAACAAGTCTACGGTATGCACAAAACACAATTAGACCTTTTAGAATTTCTAGCTTCAAAATGCATTCATTCAGTCGTTCTTTATTGCAAAAAAAAAAAAGTCGCCGAGACTCTCTTTATGTATTTTCTTCCTTTCGGCTCAAACACAGCTCGGACGGGTTTACACATGATTATTTAATCATTAGATCATCTATAGTGCCGGCAAAAATACGAATTCAGCACCGGCCAAAATTTTAAGCACGGCTCGCTACTTAGAATCCAGTTCATAGTGCAGAAAGTTTCGTCAAATCCGTAGAGCTTGGTACATTTGAAGGTTGCAAGGTTTTCGTTCTTGGTCAAATTTTTAACACTACTTGATTAAATCCTCCAAACTCAAACATTAAAAAAATGTTCTACGTCACAATCGTGGTCAACAGCATGTCATGACATTGCAGGGGCAGATCTTTTATTTATGCAAGGGATGCGGTAGGTCCTAATAGACTTTTAGGTCAAAATTAATCAATCTAAAAGCAGAAGTCTATTTGACATAGTGTGCACTGGTCAGCGAAATCACTCTGTCCGACCCGACCCAACGCGAATTGTTTATGCGTTTGACCAATGGGCATCAGTTCTAAAGCGCCGTGCTGTTCCTGTGCTCTTCCCATGCCACCCAAATGAAATTCATCTTGAACATGTTACTGTATATGATAAAGATATAACGAGGGGGAAAAGTCTAGGATGGTAAAGCAAGCTCAAGGCAGGATGTTCAAATCTTGAAGATGATCCAGGCCATAAGCGCCCCCAGTCTTCTGTGATGGACAAGAACGTTGCATTTGATTCGTGAGGACAGGAGGCTGAAAATGTGTGACCTGCTGACGATCCTGTCACCTCGAGGACTGGTGTACATAGAATAATGTATGAAGAGCTCGTGTACTGTAAATTGTCAGCTCGCTGTGTGCCAAAACAACTGGCAGAAGATCACAAAGAGAAACAATTGGAGGCTTCAGACACTCTTGCAGCTGTAGGCCTACAGGGGTGGTATTTATGGCCAAACGAGACCTGGTGGAGACAATGTCGGAGCTGATGATGGTGTCACACGACCGGGTGGGAATATTCTTGTCAATCTAATAACAGTAACCGAAATATGGGTGATCACACAACACCAGAAATAAAGAAAAATTCCATGACCTGGAAACACACCTCGTCACCGACGCCCCAAAAATTCAAGGTTCACCACT